CCCGTCTACCCTTCCCCTCAAGCCTTCTTTATCCCTCTCTTCTCTCTCACGCGCACCAGTCTCTCCTCCTGGCGCAAGCACCATCGGCCGACGAGCTCGTGCAATGAGATATGTGCGCTCAGAACTCGTGCGTGCCAACCATGAGCTCCAACTCGCTCCTACGTGCACCGGGCTGTGCTCCTGGCGTAGGCACCCTCGACCGACGAGCTCGCGCGCTTAGACTCCTTCGTGTGTTCTGAATTCGTGCGCGCCAACCCTGAGCTCCGATTCCCCTCTTGAACCTCTCTCCTTGCTTCCACACAGCCGCTCGCTCCGGAGCTTCCGCAGCACCCCGTTCGGTTCCGGGTCAGGAGAGCGAAGGCGAGAACTCTTCGGTATCGCCCTCTCTCTCTCCCGTGCGCCAGCGAATGTTATCCTCGAGCGCACACCGTGCGTACTCGCTAGCTTCCAACCTCCGTGCGCTTTTCTTTTTCAGGCTCCTCTCTCTCTCTTTTATACCCTCGGTCCCTCGTTACTTCCTCCTTCCGTATACGGCATTCGCATCTCATTCTGCTAACGTTTCCGCAATTTTCCCTTCTTCCTGCCGTTCGCCTTAAATTTTTCGAAATTTTTTCTTACTTCCCGCTCACCCTTCCTCCCCATCCGTTAGATCCAGCGTTTCCCCATCCTCGACCAATTACGGCTCACCTTTTCCTCAAGTTAGGATCGATATTGCTTTGTTCGGTCGATAACCTCCCGCCGGCAGCACTTGTCCCTTTCCAATCTTTGTTACTTGCTGCACAAGTCCGTTGAGCTCCCTTGTCCGTTCGTTTTCTTCCTCCGGGATCTGGCGGGAGCTCTGATAGACGGCGCACCCCAGTACCAGCTCTGGTGCAGTTCGTTGCCCGACCGTTTGTACCCTTCGGCGCTGGTGATGTTTTCCGTACCTTCGAGAGCGTCGACTCTATTCCTCTTCTTCCCTCCCCCCCTCTCTCTGCCACATAGTTTCTTTCTCCCAACGTTTTCTACCATTTCCCACTTACTTTCGTCGATCCAGACTTCTTTTCCTCCTCCAATCGCAACTCGCCCCTCACCCTCGACAGGATCTTAATCACCCCCACTCTTCTTCGGCTGACAGTCGCGCCATCCTCGAAATTTTCCACTACTTCCCGCTCCTTCTCTTCTCCCCTTTTCATTCCTTGTCGCTCCAAACTTCTTCACCTCCCTCCAATCGCAGGTCATCCCTCACTCTCGGCGGGATCCTCATCCCCCCCGCTCTTCTCAGGGCTGCCCAATGCCCTCACCTGGTCTGGCGAAGCCGCTGGCACTCGCCGATTCCTTCTCCCTTCGACTGTCTGTCTTGCCGCGCGTATCTGATGCGACTCTTGGTTTAGATGCATCCTGGCTTTAGCCAGCGGATTCGTAATCAGCCCGTTCATATTCCCTTCCGTCTGGAGCAGCGGTCTCGTTCCCCATGCTTTCAAGAGTCCGTTATCAAGAACTCGCGACGCTCTCATTCCCTCCCTCCCCACATAACTCACTTTCCCTTCTTGTACCGCCAATTGCGCGCGTAGCCTCCTCCAGCCGGACCCCGGATTCGCCTGGTGGGTCCCTCAGGCAGTAAAAGCTACTAGCTGGCTCTTCTCACCATTCTCCTGCCTCAGGGACGCACGCCAGATCTCACAAGAATCAAATCCCCCCTTTTCCAACCACCCGTATACGGTCCACTCCTCGGCCCTTGCATGAGCTTTGGATCCGTTGGTGGCGGCCCTCGGTCACAGTCCCCTACCTCGCTTGGAGTGACTCCAGGCCGCGGACACCAAACCCCTTCGACTCTATCCGTCTTACCGGCCCAAGCCCGCAAGGTTGTTTATCTCGAGACTGTGCCAAGGGAGCCTGCTTGTTATCCCCCTCTGTAGTTATTCCCCTGACCCTCCTCGTGTCGAAGTCCCGTCCGATCACAATGCTTCAGGTGCTGCTGATAGCCCATGCTCGGGCCCTCTGTAGGTCGCTTATTTTCGGCCCTCACTCGACAGTCCGCCGTTCATTCCCGTTTTCTTGGTCTTGGCATCGAAAAACTCCGATTTTCATGATCCGCGCGAGCCCGCTCGTGACCAAAATTTGGACCGCCACTTCAGCCAATAGAAGGGTAAGTGCGAAGACCCGGACACCCGGGGACATCCACAAATGCTACATTCACATGCACTCATACGTCAAAACCAAGCAAAACTATAAAAACAAAGAAGAAAAAAGTTTTTTATTTCAAAGAAAAACACTTCGGCTGTTAGACAGCCGCCCGACAACGTCACCGCCCTTCATTCTCTGCAGAGCTCTAATGCGTCAACTTCCATACCACAGGTCAGCACTCTGAGCCGAACAGGGTCCAATTGCAGATCTGACTGCAGGTCTAGTTACAGGTTTGTGACTGACAGATTATTGGTTTAGTTACAACTGAGAGTTGTCGCTGTGATTACCATTCTGAAGTGCTGCTCTAATTGACGGTCCCTGGTTGCAGATTGCTAGTTGTTGATGGCTGATTGCTTTTCGTTTGCCACTTCTAAAGCGAAACTGCCTTCTGACTGTTGTTTCCTGTTGCTGTTACTGACTGTGGTTCTAGATTGCAGGCCCAAATAACTGACCGAAAGATTGCTGGCTAGGATTTTGTTGATTGTGCGACAGTTGATCAATTACCTGATTGAATAAAACTGAATACTGATTAAAATGTCGGTCTGAGCTCCGGTCTGAGTACTGATCCAACAAACTGATAAAATAACCGATTGACTGTTTGATCAAGGTAATTCTGTTTTCTGAATGGTTGAATGGCGAAATAAAAGGCGGTTTTTTATGTTGTCTGAGATCTGCCAGCGTATAAATCTTCACGCTATAATCTCTTAATGATTTGGGGCAACCACATTTTTGCTGACTGATGTTCAGGCATCTGGGGACTGTTATGGTACCGATAGGGTACTGGCCGATCATTAGTCAAATACTAGTTGAGAGTTGATTGATCCGTTGGTTGATTGTTGCTATTATTACTGAACCCTGCACAACAGCGGCCTCATAGTGCATGGAAACACAGTTGGCAGTGCCGAGTCCTTAGTAACGGTAAACGGTACTCAGCACCACCCTCTGTCAATTGCGGAGAGTATCAAACATTGTATATTGCTTACAACCCTGGTCTACTGAAGGGGTCCCCTGAGACAGAGATCAGAGCATTCTTATGTCCGCTTAAGTTCTTGCCTTGGCCTGCTCCAGGCTTTCCAATGACGAAACTGTACTATGCGGCTTCCCACTTGACTCGCAGATATAGAAAACGTACTCAATAAGCCTGTGATGACTCTCGGCTTTCTCCATAGCAAATTTTCTCAGAAACTTCTTGCTTTCTTCAGTCTCTCTCAACACCCTATCTTCCCAGCCCTCAGTTTTCGCCTGGTGTAAAGTACAGGTCACAACCAGTGTGTCCATGTTTCTGTATCCCTCACCCTTATCCCATTTCTCACTTCCAGGTACGAAATTAGGGGGAACAAAAGTCTTTCTCCGGACCCTTAGGCGATCCTTTAGCATGTAGTTAAAGGCTAAACAGGTGATGATTCTTTTTGGACATTGACTTCTTGCATCAATTAAGAATGTCTGGGTATCTACTCCTGTTAGACTAAAACTGCAGGAAACTAGTCCCCATCCAGTGAGAACTTTGCGATTAAATAAGCAACCTTTTTCAACTGTTGTTTCCTTCCCCTACGACTCATTACTCGAACCCGGCATTCGCAGAGGTCTGATCTCAACTGCTCTTTTGAGTCCAACTAGGGCGAGTGTTCATAGGTTACCGTGTTTTCACGCTTGAACAATCTCGCTGATAACCGCGTAGATCAGGTGACCATACGAATATCTGCGGAAAGATCGTACCACCTTCTGGTCGTACAAGTCTGTCACCGGTGTTTCATCCTCCAACGAGGGTAAGTTGAGACAAAATTACTCACATTTACACTACACCCACGTCAAGCAGTTAGGATCAGAGACATCCGTCGAGCCCAATATTTGTCGCCCTGATCATCCCTTCATTGATAAACAGTAGAGCCGTCACATTTAAATAACCGCAGACTTTGGGTAATAATAACAATAATAATAATAAAATAACAAAAATAAAGATACTCCAGCAGAGAATTCCTCTTCGACGTCCTGGCTTGAAGGACAGAGCCCCCGCTTACAAAACATCCCACAAAGGAAAACTGAGACAACGCTTGGAATGAGCTTCAAACTTTACATCCGAGAGACACGCAAGCAGGAACAAGGGTAGAAAAGAAATACGAATCATGACAACCATCACGCACCTTCCCGCCCTACTGAGTCACACGCTATACGACCTCAGAATCGATCTCATCAGGTCAGGCGCCACTTTTGGCCTGCCGACAGAATTCCCTTATCATTACCCAAGTCGAAACAGTCACAAAACTGTGGGCACCCCGATTCATTATCACATAACTCCCACCCAATAACCGTACCTGTATAGATTATCGAACTCAATATCCATCCCAAAATTCCTCCCTGTCTCACACGTCTCAGTGATGACTGATATGGCTGCTCATAGCCCCTCATACCTGTATTCAATGCACCAGGATCACAGAGAGCTTTTTAACAAAATCGTACAGGCCGTAATCTCTACTCTAAGTCCCTCCGTGTCTGTTTTCTCAGAACTCACAAGCGGCCTCAGACTCTACTGTCTGGTAGCAAAAGTCAGTGGGACCTATGATCCCCATTGAGGGTAAACCTTTTCGCCTTCTCTGATCGAAGAGTCCATGCTAACATATTTTCGGTGGCTAGACCGAGAAATACAATTGATAACTCCCCGCTAAATAGCGGCTCAGCCCGGAAACAGCCTTATTACAGCAGAGAGACAGAGTTATTTCCCCTACACTAGCGATATCGAAAGCGGAAAAGGCACATTCTGCCACTAAAGCTTCCATGCGCGCTCACTCCTCAGATTAAGCCTCACACGCAAGGTTCAACCATAACCATACCCTTCCCCTGACGATCTTTAAACTTCAGTGACTCAAATCATACGCGCGAGATGAGAGAAGAAAGATAAACTCACTCCTACGGTCCTTGACTCATGCAGAGGGTTATCAACAACCGTTTACAACTGACGGGGAACAGCCTTGACGAAGAAGGCGCATCAAAAGAAGAACAAATGGACATCAAAAGGGGTCAGGCTATCTCTCAAAACTCCCTAGTGTCACGCAATTGGACAAAATACCCTTACAAGGGTATTTTGCCATGACTTTGCATTCGTCAAGGTGATGGCGTCAGCCGCCATGACGTAGCCAGTCTGGAACAAGAAGGGTGTTCACGCTTGGCGTGACGCTGAAAGCAAAACCCTCGACCACTGAGGCCGGGGGAAGAATCGGTAAGAAAATTTCGTTAAAGAATGTACGCGCGTTATTATGACGCACACCAAGGTGATACCCCTCGACAGAAGAGGTCGAAGGGACAGGTAGGTTTGTGATTGTGTCGGATAGGTCTACGACGCACGCTGAGACGTAGGTTGCTACCTATCTACGTGCTGGTACAAGGTGTCTAAAAGTATCAACTTGTCTTCTTAAACTCGACCTCCGAGTCGAGTGCTCTCCGCATCTACCTCTACTTAGTGAGGTACCGGCCTACCCGCCACTTGAGTGTTTTCCCGCCACGACCGTCAATATCGCGGCCACGGCCAAATACCGGCCGACCTGCTACTTGAATGTTTTCCCCCCCCCGCCATTCTGAGTATGCGGGTTTACCCCGCTGCCTTGTAACTTTCCCGCCGTGTCCCTCAAGGCCACGACTACAGGTAAGTACCGGGTCTACGGCCTTCTGAGCGACTGAGTGCCCTTGCGGGTCACACACGCGCTCAAGTCAACAGGCATGCAGACAGGCATGCGTGCACACACACAGACTTGGAAACAGACTCGGGCCGCTAAGTGGGCTGGGCCCCCCCCCCGGTCCTATATGTACCAGAGCTGCTCCCTTTCTAACCAGAATAGGAGCTAGCTCAGTTGGTTTAGATACAGTTGTCAAGCGGTGGACGCAAGGAACGAATCCCACCGCCCTCTGAGCTAGCTCCCTTTTGACAGGAGCTTTACCTTTATTTTACCTAGGTTTGAACGGCCGGGACTCGATCCCGCGACCTCTCTATCTGGGTTAGTTGTGTTGGTTGCCTCGTTGAAACGAGACACCACGTTAGGCAGTTAGTAGTAGTTCTCGTTTGAATTCGTTCATTTTATTTTATTTTATTTTGTTGATTAATTCCTTTACCCGTAGCTTCTATTTCCCTGATTCACGCAAGGGAATCTGCACCCGGAAGACGGGCTGATGCAGCCGGAGAAAGGAAGAAGCCCGGCCAGCCTACCGTACGGCATCAGCCTATAGCACGAAGAGCCCCTCGTCAAGGAAAGAGCAGGCCGCAGCAAGATCGTGCGCGCAGAGCAAGATCGGAGATCGGCCGCGCAATAGCCAGAGGGAGCGCAGGGGGGCGAGGAAGGCAGAACGCGAGAAAGACGAGGAGAGAGCACTCGTAAGGAAGTAGAAGGAGGAGAAAAGTAAGAAGGAGG